AATGAAATAATTGTTCATTGAATCTCCGAATTAAAGTACATGACGGGAATGGTCGAATATAGTTTTTTTTGGCAATAAGATACGTCTATTACTCCTTTTCTGACAACGTTTTATAGATTCCTCGAATCGAGCTGGTGGTATTCGTTCCATTCTTCGTATGTTTGTTTATCCTGTCACTAGAGGTCAGGGCCAGCATCGTTAGAAACTTTTTGGCTGTGGCGTGGCACCCATCACAACCCGAGACACATACCAGATCATTGGCGATTTTGCAGGTGATACTCCATTTTCTTTCGCTCGAATAAACTCATTAGAATTTGGGTATTTTCCTCCAGTGCAATGTCTCGTTGCCAGTCATACCAACAAAAAAAAAAAAAAAACTAACTCATTTAGTAGAATAAAAGCTATAAAAATGGCATCTGTGATTTATAGAACCAGAGCTACAAGCCCGTACCCCTTTAGTGATTTGTGGCACTAAAGACGTCCTACTTTTATAATTTTAACATTTCTTCGCTCTTCTAAGGAGAACTTTTAGGATTCGAAATATTGTTCTACTTTTATTTAGTCTATTTGTTTATTTAAATATTATAAAAATAAAATAATTAATTAAATAAAATATAATAAAAAGAAAGAAAGAAAAACGTGACAACGATTCCAATAACCGAAAGCCTATTATACGAAAGATTTGCAATTGAATAAAACATAATAGACTTTAATCTAGTACTTGATATACAACAAATTTAAGATTATCAAATGTATAATTTAATAATATCTTTAATTACAATAAATTATATTAGGAAGGAACTTGTTGGTTTCTTTTTTTTTTCACTTATGAAATTAATGGAAGTGAATATTTGTATGACTGGACAACCCTGGGTGTGATTTACAAGTGTCAGTAGAAGCATACTCCATCGTCTGTTATGTCAAGGTAGGCGACGGCTGGTGCTTAGTTAGTACATAAGGCGCCATCCCAGACATTAGACGACTGACAGAAAATACCGAGGGGTTATCTACTTTTCTCCTAATATTGCTCATCTTCACAATGCCGCTTTCGCTAAGATTAATAATGGAAAGTTCCGCAGTTGCAACTTTTGTATAAATTGTCCTTGGATAAAACTTGTTCAATTCTTTTTTTTTTCCTCCCCCATAACAACTCGTTTGTTTATAGAAATAAAAATATTTAATAAGATCGATATTAAATATGCATTATTTAAACTCTAAAAAAGTGTAAATTCCGGTTGCAACCGAAAAAATTAATTGTTTTTTTTAAACTATTTAAATGGGATTTAACCTTTGAAGAACATTTAACCGACAATTTGTTTTTTTTCCCTTGTTTTTGACAGTAGTCAATAATGCCGTTTGATTGATTGAGCCATTTAGTTTATAAGTATTTATAATATTAATTTCTTTAAAAAGTTAATTTATTAAATGTCATTAAGTGTCATAAATCAAAATATGTCAATGAAAAAAAAGAATGGAGAAGAAAAAAAAATTCTCGGTGCTTAATAAATTGATTTCTAATATTAACATTTTATTAATTATTTTATTTAAAAGTTAATGAAAATATCTTAAAAAATGTAATGAGAGATAATGAAAAAAAGTGGCATTGACATCATTATAAGCGTAGAAGAAGACTTTCGAGTCAGCCACTCTTCTATTGGTTTTGCAATAGTTGACGATCTTTCCCCGTTGGGTTTTAAGGTAATTTTTATAAGTTTTAACACTCTTGTCGAGTAGAGAATTATAGAAATAAGTAAGAATTCCAGTGTTTGGCCTCGCATACCTTAACGAAATCCAACAATCTCCGCCCCGAGTTGCCATCAGTAAATCTCTAGTGTAACGTCTACTCTCGGACATATATCACCGGGGTGTGTTCTTTTCCCTTCGGATATTTAACCTTTCACTGTCGCGTGAAATTTTTGTCATTCTACTTTAAACGAAACCAACTGTTAATAATCGTTGGTTCCTTCAGTCCAAGTAAATTTAAAGAGTGGCGTTTAAAATTTATTAAAATGTGATATACGCAGTGAATTAATATATAGAATCATCCATTCGTATGTTTGATGATAACCTAGGAGTAAAAAAAAAACCTGCAATTTTTTGTATTTAAGAAAGGCCAAGAGCGTGACTGGCATTTTAGTCTCTTCGCATCCTGTTCCGGTGCTAATTCATGTAATCTGTCTAAAAAATTAGGGTTAATTCGGTAGGTTACTCCGCTCTGATCTCATGATTACACCCACCTGGTTTAACAAATAGTGAACTACACCCCTATACTGTGAACTCCACGCCCTGGCACATCCTCACGTCGGAATATAGCAATATTGCTTCAAATGGTCAATTTTCTCAAAAGTGAAAGGTTAGTTTTTTTAAAGAGAGCATTCTCTTTTTCAGCTTTTATGTTCTCTTATAAAAGAGCAGGAGCGCCGCAAAACCTGTAGTCTAATCGAGGTAACGGAGAGGAGACTATCCTTGATAAGTCATTCTGATAGGATCTTCCACATTTGAATAAATAAGACCCTAAAGGAAGCAATTAGCTTTTGGAACAGGATACGCTCTAGGAATCGAGCCTATTTTCGCCTTTAATCTCGTCAATTTTATTGGTTTCTCTCATTTTTCTTTAGTCTTCATCGTATTACACAGGAAACATAAGAGAACGATATTTTAAAGACTATTATTTACATTTCTAATAAATTGATGTTAATAATGGACAAAATTCTGGTGTTAATATTGGACAATATATTGTTATCTTTTTTAATTTCCTCTTAGATTTATCATTTGTAATACTGTTTAAACAGCCCACATTTGAAAATTTTCATCTTTCAACAGATGAGTCACACTTAAATACCATGTCTAAGGTTTAATAATAAGCAGTCTGGGTGGATATTTAAGTTTTCCAAGAAATTCATTTTCAACAAGCCCTTGTTATAACCAAATTAGTAAATTTAACTTTTTAAAAAATAGATTAAATATGCCCAAATCATTATAATATTTCAAAGAAGATGGATGATATAGAGTTTTTTTTTTATTCTCACGAAGACTTGAATATTTCGGTCACAAGATTTTAATAAAATCTAAGAAATTTCGTGTCATTTTTGATGTATCAGGAAGATTTTCTAAAAATATTTTTTTCTTATATCTCTAAGTTCCCCCCAATCTAAGTTTGTTTCAATCATAAATCATGTCTACAACTTAGTTTTACTCTATAAATCATAAAACAACCTACTTTTATCTGCAAAGTCAATGCGAAGAAATTTCAAACATGTAGCAAACTGACTTCTATAAATATGTTGGAGGTAAAATAAATATGAATTTTAAGGATAATCATTCAGAAATTTGTCACATCATTAACTAAATATCACGTATATTAGTCGGTTAGTTTAAAAACATTATCACAAATAAAGATAATCGAACTTCCTAATGATAATTACATGCAGACGTATTGGGGTTGAAAGATGAAAATACATTATTTAACAATAAAATAGCCATTAATGGTTATAGTCACGCTTGAGAGCATTAACAATGATGGAAATGTATTAATAATCGTTAGACATTAGTGAATCAAAATAATTGAAAAAGAAAACGAGAATAGATGATGGAAAAGGGAATGACCCATAATCACTTTATTAAAACCATTAATAATGTTTTTGTGTCGTTTATAATATAATCTACACTTAATATATTATGAAATTAATTATATTGTTATATTGTTAGTAATGCAATGATAGAAATTCCTTTATAAAAGTATAAAATACACTGGAAAAATTTCAAAGTTGTAACGTATATTCGATCGATATTCCGTGTTATAAAGGGGAATATTGATAGCGGAAGTAGTTTAGAATGGCGATAAAAACTTTAATATTATCCTATAGTCTACTATAGTAACATAGTAAATAAAGATTTTGTATAAGTATAGTATTAAAGCTGACGGGATTACCCAAAGTCTACTCGAGATGCACGGAGCATGAAAAAGGATTTCGACTAAAAAAATCTCTCCGACAAAGCTTTATATAGGATTACTCGTGAATGACAGAAGATTATCGACATGGAAAAAAGTGAAATTGAATAAGAAAAATTCTTTAGAAGATTGGATTTACGGAAGAAAATGTCAGACATACAATATCGACCGCACTTCCAGTTAAACAGCAGTAAAATCTAACAGAAAAGAGAAAAAAAAAATTCATTTCCATGTATACAATAGACAGTAAAATACTATTTTTATGTTCGACAAAAATAAATAAATAAATATATATATATATTTTATTGCTTTAGAGGGAAGAAGATTTGGAAAAGATGATAAAAATTCCTATTTTTATAGGGAGTGCTTTCAAATGATATTGGAAACATATAGTAAAAAATAGAATTTTA